AAAAAAAAAAAAAAGAACTACAAAAAATATTTACCCCTCCATCGAATTTATGAGAGACAGATTTAAATTTGTGTTAGACAACTGTTATATTTGTAAAACAACTTCGGAAACAACAGAGCACATGTTCTATGGGTGTGGGACAATCCAGAACTTATGGAAATCTCTCCATGTCCTAATATTGTCCCAGTATGGAAATATTGATTTTTGGTCTTTTCAAAATATTCAAATTGGAGTAATCCTTAAGGACAAAAATAGTGAGTTTTTAGTTAACAATCTCATTATTATAACAAAGTATTACATACATAAATGCCGATATGCTAAATCCCCCCCTTCATGGCCTGCTCTTAAAAACGAACTCTCCCTGTCCCGTAAATCTCTGAAGCTAATAAATAAGCCCCAAGCAATCAAATTGCATAGATTTTTAGAAGAGTTTGATTTTTCTTAGCCCCTTATTTAAGTTATGAGTCTTGTTTATGGAACCTCACTTTTAGAGATTTTATGATCCCCGTTGTCTCCTTTATTTCTGTTCCTTGTTTTTCATTCTTTTTTATTGTTATTTATTTTTGTATTGGTTATTCATCTTTTTATATTATTATTATGTAGATGTGTGCGTATGCATGTATGTGTATATATATATATATGTATGTATGTATGTTTACTTTCAGTTATTGTCGATTTCATCGTGAGGTACCAACGGCACTGTGGCAGTGATGTGTATTCCTCTGATCGGGAGAAAAGAAAAAGGTGTGATTCTGTTCTGAATGATTCAATATGTCGCTTGTCTCTTTGAGATTGTCATTGTTATTGTTCTAAATAAAGTTCATTCATAGGTCGTTTGGACGTGCTGGTGCGTCCGTGGACTCCAGAGGGTTAAATCAGTTTTTGATGGTTATAAAAATGTTCTGTGATGATGGCAGTATGTAACACACGTTTTGATCTGATAAACACACCTGATGTCTGATAACTTGAAGACATCAGTTGTCAGAGATGGACGCTGCGTCATTAACACTGACCTCAAGCGTCGGCTTTTGGATCCGATGCTTGGAAACTGCTGAACTCTTCAGTGGATGGGGTCCTGTGGACGTGTCACTACTGCCACCCAGACTCTGACACAGCCTAATGTTCCTCAGCTTTGATGCAGAAACACTCGTTCCACACCCAAGGATCCACTGAGGGGACGACAGCGATCAACCAGATGACACCGGGCTGTCCTTTGGTAAACTCCGGGACACCTGCTGCCGTTTTTCAGTTTATAAGACACTAAGTTCAAATCCAGCTGGACACAGGTAACTGGTTAAAGAAGTGTTTGTGTTTATTGTCTTACTGTTTTTAAGGTGCTTTTTAGAGGATGTAGAAAATCCATTTACTGCAAACATGTTAAACAGCAGCTTGACAGAATAAATAATTCTTCTGATAAAATCATATCAGTTTAACATAAAGTCAACATAAACAGGTGTAAATGTAACCAAACTGTCGGTGTTATTTTAACATGAGGTGACTGCAAAGAGTTCACATGAATGACAAACACACAAATCATGTTGGTATGAAAGTTGTGCAGTTATACAACAAAGATTAATGTTGACTAAACACAACTTTATTTCATGTTAATGAAGCTGATGTTTTTTGTCGATGCAGAACAGACCGACGGTCTGCCAAAGCAACCCCGGAGTTTATCACCGCAGACACGGGGAACATTGTTCAGTCAGCTGATCTGAAGCCAGCGAGCGTTTCACTGGTTGAAGACAGAAATGTCCACAAACAAACAGCAGCTGAGACCCGCTGCAGTAAAGGTGGCAGCGCATTAAAGAGCAAAGAAGCACATGGTAACGTCCATGAGCTGTCAGTGTCAGCGGAGGGTTTGCAACCAAGTGTTAAAAATGAACGTTTTATTTTCACTTATCTTTACTTACCTTAGTATGGAAGCCCGTTTACACCAAAAAACCCAAGTATCCATAAGTCGAAATTTCGACTTATGTTTCTCCAAATTTCGAGTTATTAACTCGAAATTTTGAGTTAATAAGTCGAAATTTGGAGAAACATAACTCGAAATTTCGACTTAGCTCTGCCAATCAGTAATCTACATGAATGAGGTCACTTTCTTGTTACCCGGAAGCATATGGTGCAAAGTAGCGCGCATTCAAAACCGGATCGCAACAAACTGGCGCTTTCGCGAGTACGTTTGCTGATAGTAACACCATGTGATTCAGCTAATAACACAAGGATTTCATCGTTTGAAGCCACGCTGAAAATACTCAGCAATCTGTGCATTCATGACTGCATGTAGCTGTAGCATTTGTACCTGAGGGCTTCAGCTTCCGGGTAACAAGGAAATGACATCATTCACGTAGATTACTGATTGGCAGCGCCAACTCGAAATTTCAAGAAAATAACTCAAAATTTTGAGTTAGTGGCAGAAACAGGCTTCCATACCCTGGAGCCCTGAAATGACGGCGTGTTATAAAGTCTGTAGCAGTCTGTGTTTAACTCACTGAGTCAAAGCTGAGCGTCTGCACTTCACCTGCATCTCCAGAAAACCGTCTGCATCCTGTGAACCTGCCTGTATAAACGATGAGCTGCCCTCATGGTGGAGCTCGTGTGTGTAAAACCATCAGCAAACTGGACAGAGGATCGGGGAGCTGGACCGAGGTCGCCCGGCCCACTTTAATCACTTAGTGGTATTGAGCACATTCCAGCACCGCCTAGAGGAAGAGACCATGATCTGAGGAGCGGCTCTTGGCTTTACTTTGACTGAACTTCTGCTCAAACATGATGCTAACCTCGTGGATCAGATGCTACTTCCATAAACTGGGATGTTTGCAGTGTTTCAAAGACGTGTGCGGTCCTGTGGCGGATACTCTTGATAAATGAGACACAGCGTCTTTGCTTTTCTTTCCTTCTGTGTCACAAACCTGACGATCGGCTTCGCTGTGCCGCTGGGAGCGAACATTACCGCGAGTCCCGAACTGGTAACTGTTGAACGGACGGAAGCGGTGCAGCTTCTGATCTCGACCACAGACGGAACATCAGCATCCAACACACACACCGTTCCTCCACACGTCTGAGTGATTTTTATTACATTCTGTCAAAGAACTGGTGATGACGGCCGGCTCGTATAAATACAGGCAGGAACAGCACACGTATGACGGAGAACACGATGTCTGAGCTGTCGCTGGGATTTCTGCTGTGGATGAACCACACACACACACACGCCCTGTCCTCACGCACACACTTCCTGTCCTCAGGCCTTGTGATGGCGTCTTGTCTCGCGTCACCTTTGACAGAAACATAACTCTGCTGAGTTTGTAACTTTGAACTTGGAATTGTGTTTGTGACAGACAGACAGGGAGATGCTTTATAAACCCAACACATCTGCGCTTTTCAACAAAACATTTACAGCAGCTGACATCATCAGATCGCAGCGGCAGGGCAGCGTCCAGCTGAAATGGCAGGGCTGACGGTGCGTTTAAGGCTCGTTTGGATTCAGGTAAACAACACGCTCCTGTGATGTCACAGGGCTGAGGTGAGTGTCCACAGGCAGGAGGAGGTCCTGTCATGTCTGATAAGTTTGTGTTAAAATAAGCACGCTGGACAGATAAGAACGATATGAAACATGATGCTGCGCCCCCAGAAATGCGGAGCTTAAGGCTTATCTTAAGCCTCAGAAGTAGAATCCACACAAATGCAGGCCTGAAGGGCACAGGACCCCTCCTCCAGCATCTCCTCATCATGACTCTTCTTAAAGATACTTTCTGGACTCCACAGATCACTCCATACAAGACATAAATATCTGACCTGCTACAGCTGCTGTTACCTGGGTAACATAAGCCCTCCCCCCTCAGGTGTCCACACTTTGGTGATGAAGTTACAGAGTTCCTGCTCAGCAGCCTGAAGTAAAGTCATTAAAGGGTTAAACGTGTCAGAGACCAGAGGACGCTGTGATTGGTCTGCTGCTGACTTACAGATGGGCACCTCAGTCCTGCAGACTGGATCTGGGTCTGACGAGTTTCAAAGTGGGGATACACCTCGGGCAGCGACTGACACGGCTTATGATTGGTCAGGTGAGAGTCTTCTCGTTCTGATGCTCAGACACTCAAACCAACAGCGATGTTCTGGCTCCTCCTCCAGCAGTGAAATCAGGTTGGGAGCTTCTCTGACTTCCTGAAACATGACGCAGACGGTCACGAGATGCACAGAGAGAGCTCTGCGTTTCCTGAACATTTCAACAGCCTGCAGGAACACAAACGTCCTGAATGATAAACCCCGCCCTCCTTGACCTCCTGCTGATTGGCTGGTGGGTGGGGTGACAAGGCACTGTGGGGTCATGTAATTGGTTGTTTCTCCTGAAATCCTGGGTGTCTGGGTTCAGTCAGGTTACTGAGAACCAGCACAGACCGATCCAAGTCCAATCACAGCGAGTCCTGGACCTGCGTCTGTAGGCTGAGGCGCTGGTCCAGGGTCAGAGGTCAGGTAGGTGAAGTGGTGAATAGCAACACAGGAGAGCAGGCAGCTGTTGCTGGGCAACAAAAAGGGAAAAAAAAACAGTCAGTGAAACCTGCAAACACAGCTCAGAGTCAGTGAAGACCACAGTGTTCATCAAGCTAATGTTAGCTTTGCAGCTTGTGCTAATGTTCCTGAGATAGCATTAGCACGTAGCTGTGAGTTAGCTGCAGAAATGTGCTGATGTTTCCCAGACGGCACAGCGACGTGTTGACCTCAAACATTCGCCCCGTGGGTGGTGGCCCATCTACACCCATACCTACAGTTACATAATAAAATTCAGCGTGTAGGCTGCTACAAACATGTGTTCAGTGTTAAAAAAATGATCCCTGCATTCACAGTTCCATGTATGACAGGTTCCAGCTACACCACTCATGATCTCCAAGCAGGTAAGCTACACCCACCCGGCAGAAAGCCACATTGGCACTACTTAACTGTCCACTGTGAGGGTCATGCACAGAGAGGTGGAATGTAGGCAGAGCAGCACTACGACGGAGAAACGACCTCTTCCCTATGACAAAGACACACACCTACCCTACATTAGAGCTAGCACCACCTACACAACGCACTCAGTGTGATTTACTGACTACGTTTTCTGTAATGGCGACATCAATGATAGACGCTGCTGTCTGGGTTGGTTCCTAACATTAGCTGATAAAGTTAGATCAGTCAGTCCGCAGACTTGGGACGAATCAGACGCTTTTACCATGTGACAAAGACAACACTGAGTCTGTTAGCGCCAAGCTAACTTGAGCGAGAACGTCAGGTTGTCCACATAAAGCAGCAGTCACCTGGCAGCAGCTAGGCCTCGCTGGCACTGCTGCTCCTGTTCAGCTCTCTGATGCCCTGCAGGATCCTCTTCATGTGGCCCACCTTCGTCACGCCGAGGTCCTGCACACACCAGAGGAGGTCAGTGAGGCTGGGCAGGCACTTCCACTCCATCATCCATCCCATCACCAGCACCATCCATTACATCACCACCATCCATCCATCCATGCTACATCAACCTATACCTATCAGCAGTTAGCGGTGACCCAGCGGCGTACCTTTAGGTCCCTCCTCTCCAGGTGGATGAGCTCAGCTCCACGGACGTCGTGACCAATAAAGATGTCTTTATACTCAGTGAGACACAGAAAGTCCAGCCATGCCCCCACCTCTTCTGTCCCCCACTGGTGAACTGAGACATCAACAGGAAGTGGTTCAGACAGACAGAAAACACCGCAAACAGTGATTTCATAAAATGCCATGACTATATTATCCTCTGTGAATTTAATCCCACAGAGAGAGACAGATGTTACCTGGCAGAGAGAACGTGGCACATGTTTCTTTGTTCTTGTTGTTCTTCTCCTTCTTGAACTTTGGGACGAGGCGGAACTTGGCGCCCCGACTGCGCTTTGAAAAATCTGTCAGTGGACCCTGAGAGACAGATGGGCAGAAATGTTTGCCATTAAATGTTTTCACGCTTCCTGGGTTGGTGTTTTTCATATTACCACCCGCTAAACACCTCGAGGCGGTTTGCTTAGGTGATGCACTGGGTGTTTCTTTATCACTCACTATGAGTTAATAGACTTCTCTGCACTGAATACTTTTTAAAAAAAAAAATCAAAGTCTTTTTATTGAAAGAGGTTTTGTACTATCACAAACAACAAATTAAACATACAAGCAGTACAGCATACTGCAAAAAAAACAAAAACAAAACTCAACCCCAAAAACAGCGTCTTCTTTAAGTTGCTTGGAGACGTTTCACCTCTCATCCGAGAAGCTTCTTCAGTTCTAAGGTCAAATGGTGGAGAGTCCCAGATTTCAGATGAGAGGTGAAACGTCTTCAAGCAACTTAAAGAAGTCCAGACGCTTTTCTTTCTAAGCTCCTTTGACTATGATGACCTGGATGACTGAGAACCTTCACAGACACTCTCCAACATTGGCAGGTAGTTTGTTTTATAAAGATCTTTGTAACAGCTGGAGATCCAGATTCCGAGGAATTTAAACGTTTTATTATTTACTTTGAATGGTATTAGATTAGATGGGATATTTTTTGCAGCCGCATTGATTGGGATGAATTCACTTTTCTGAGGATTTATTATGTAGCCAGACATTGAACCAAATCTTTGCAGAGTGCTTAGTAGTTTTGAGGCGAGGGTGGGGTCAATTATAAAAAAGCAATAGAGGGGTGGGTCAGTTATAAAAAAGCAATAGATCGTCTGCATAAAGTGAAACTTTGTATTCTTGGCCTATTCTGATGACTCCTGTGATACTGGTATCCTGTCGTATGGCTGATGCTAAGGGCTCTATAGCAAAGACAAACAAAAGTAGAGCTAGAGGGCATCCCTACTAGTGGCCCTATGGAATTTAAAATAAGAAGAGATCGTATTATTAGTACGCACAGCTGCCATTGGTGAATTGTAGAGAGTTTTCACCAACAATATGAATCTGGGGCCAAAACCAAATTTGCTCAAACTATAGAAAAGGTAGTCCCACTCCACCCGGTCGAAGGCCTTCTCAGCATCAAGTGACAGTAGGGCTTGAGGTGTATTGGTTGAGGGAGGGTCATGAATTATACTTAAGACGTGTCTAATGTTGACGAAAGAGTGTCTGCCCTTGATAAAGCCGGTTTGGTCTGTGGAGATGATTGTTGGTAACACGACCTCTAAGTGCTGTGATAACATTTTTGCGAGAATCTTTGCATCGGTGTTTAGCAGTGAAATCGGCTGGTATGAGCTACATTGGAGAGGGTCTTTGTTTTTTTCAGAATGAGTGAAATAACCACTTCTTGCATAGTTGGAGGGAGAGTGCCAGATGAATAGGACTCTGAAAAGACTGAGAGCAGAAGTGGTGAAAGTTCGTTAGAAAACGTTTTTAAAAATTCAGATGGGAAACCATCTGGTCCAGGGGACTTTGCATTCCACCAATCACCATCATGACCTCCTGGATAGAGAGGTCCCTTTCGAGTTCGGTAACCAGTTTAGGGTCAAATGTGGTTATACTGAGGTGACTAAAGAAGTTGTTCAAAAAAACATCGAAATGTGTAACACAGAAGGATAATACAGGAATGCACAGATATCAACACACCATAGCACAATAAACACAGACAAGCAACATGGGAAAGAGTTCCAGTGTGTACATCTGATCTGGGACCTCTGCAATCTTCGACTGCGCCTCCAGCTGACCCGATGTCCACATCAGAGGGGAGGTAAGCGTTGGAGGTGGCGTTGGATCCGGGGTAGGGAGGGTGATACGTCGGTGAGTGCTTATCAGTATCAGTATGTGTATGTGTGTGCGTGTCCATAGTTCAGCTGAGACAGTGTCCTTCGCCCTGCCAGGCTAAGTAAACAGTCTTCCAGCCAACCCAGGTGGCCTTGCATGGAATGGGAAGAACAGACTCAACACAGTCGTTATCAGGGTGTTGTTGTTCGCCTCCAGCCTTGAGCCCACAGCTGGCGCCGAAGGGGTAGCCGGATTATGATGGTCATTTTTCTTTTGCGACAACTCATGTGAATTTCAAGCTGTTCTTTAACACTCCAACACTGGTCTCTCAATCTCCCGTTGGAGAACCGCGAGCTTCCACATGATGGTATCAAACTTGCGCTCCGTGGTCTTGTCATTCTTTTGCTCAGAGAGCCGATTCTGAGAACTCACGACTGCAGTGAGCTGTTCCACGATGTAATCCAACTTTCGCTCAAAGGTGTTATTCTGAGCAGGCCTCTCCTTGATGTAACCCAATATAAACTCAGAGGTGTTATTCTGAGTATTCACGGCAGATGTAAGCGTCTCCAAGGTCTTAACCATGCTGCTCTCAATGAGCCCGTTCTGAGAAGTAGCGATTCGTCCCATCGTTCCAATCCCAGCGGGCAGCCTTGGGGGGGTTTGAACAGCCGGTTCTGCTCTCTTAATTCTCCGATAAGCAGGCCTCTCTCTGATGTTTCCCCTCATACGCTCAATAGTGTTGTTTTGAGCCTTCACAGCAGCTGCAAGCGTCTCCAAGGTGTTGACCATATTATGTTCGTTGTGAGAGGTCGCGCCTCGTTCCGTTTCGATTCCAGCGGGCAGCCTTGGGGGGGTTTGAACAGCCGGTTCCGCTCTCTTATTTCTCCGATAAACCAGGGCTAAGCCAACTCCGATCAGCAAGAACCCTGTTATCATGGTTCCGAATAGGTAGATATCTTCAGCGTCCTCGATCGACAGTCCCGCCAGGCACACGACCCTCTGCCACCCGTCCATCGTGTATCCGGCAGGGAAAGTCCCTCCAGGGCACTCGGGCTCTCCCGAGCCCAGACTTCTCGTTGAGAAAAGGGTGTCAATAGCATTCAGAGACCAGTTGATCAAATCAATAATTCTCTTTAGGTTTTAGAGAACAGACTGTGAGAGACTGTTCGAGGGAAAGTAATACAAAAAACACGAGACTAGACAAGGACATAAGAGCTAAGCAGGGAAGATAAGGGAGAGGAGAGGAGAAAAAGTGTGTCCGCCTCCTCTAGGGATGGGTACCGGTGTCCGGTGCCATGATGGCACCGGTTCTGACATAAACGGTAGTAACCAGACCGAAAAGCAGCGCACATTTCGGTGCTTTATTTCGGTGCTTTTTTTTCCCTGAGCTGTGATACACTTCTAGCCAATAATTTTACGTTCTTTTACGCGTTCTTTTAGAGCAGACATTCCAGGGGTCTGGTTTCGTTCAATAGTCTCTAATCTCAGATTTTGTAAAATTCATGAATACTTCGTTAGAGAATAAAAGAGCATTAAACCTCCAGGGGGGTATATACGATTGGCACCAGGGATGTGCATTCTCATCACTAGGGGAGCATGGTCTGAAATAACAATAGATTGATAATCTCAAGTTTCAACCAGTGGAAGAGCACGTTTATCAATTAAAAAAGTAATCTGAGAGAATGTTTTGTGGACAGGAGAGTCGTAGGATCGCTACCCTATCGTGGTGGAGGGGTTTGTGTGTCCCAGGGATCCCAGGGGCTCTGTTATCTGGGGGCTTTTGCCCCCTGGTAGGGTGTCCCATGGCAAATTGGTCCTGGGTGAGGGACCAGACAAAGAGCGATTCAGAAGATCCTTATGAGAAAAACAGAGGGAACAGTTTACCCTGCCAGGGATAGGGTTACTGGGGCCCCGCCCTGGAGCCAGGCCCAGGCAGGGTGCCCGAGGCCGAGCGTCTGGTGGCCGGGCCTTAGTCCGTGGGGCCCAGCCAGGCACAGCCCGAAAAGGGGACATGGGCCCATCCTCCCGCGGGCCCACCACCCGGGTGCCGGGCGGCGGCCAGGAGTGGAGGCCCTGGCGAACTGATTCCCGGCTACCAAGACTGGCAATTGAGACATGGAATGTCACCTCTCTGGTGAGGAAGGAGCCTGAGTTAGTGCGTGAGGTTGAGAGGTACTGGCTAGATATAGTCGGGCTCACCTCTACGCATGGCTTGGGCTCTGGAACCAGTCTCCTGGAGAGGGGCTGGACTCTGTCTCAGTCTGGAGTTGCCCCTGGTGAGAGGC